ACACTTCGTTCAGTTACCGCGTGGTATAGCGGTCGGGCGGTGGTAGGTTACCACTGGTCTGACGATTCAGCCTGCGGCCGTCCATGCTGGGCGTCGCGATGGTTAACACCAGCACAGAATGTTTGTAGTGTGTTCGATTAAAGTCAAGCGGCATGTAGCGCGAATTGGAATCAATTGTATTATTACAGCCGATAAGTGTCTGGGTGTCGTCGCTGATTTCAGAATGAGCACATTGGCGATCAGCCTGACGACTTTTATTTTTAACGCGAAGTACGACGCCGTGCAGCGTCGCGACGTTTGTCTCAAGATCAATATTTAAAAAGTTTTCAGTTATACACACGGTGGCGCGTGTTGCGTTTATTATTTGTTTATTGTTGAACATTCTTGATAAAATGCGCGATTTTCCGTAAACATGGAATAATTTCATACATTTATTGATCACGCGTATTCCGCAAAAGTAGTAAAACCGTAGAACGTGTAAATCTATAAAATATGTAACATAAAATATTCCACTTGTGATTGATGGCTTATTCATCTAATGTAGAGCGTCGTTAATTTAACTGCTTGTGTGTGCTCATTCATCGCGATTGTGTGCAACTAGACAGAAAAAGTGTTAATTCGCTCAAGTTCAGCGTCATGCACGCATGTGATGATTGCACGGATAAAACTCCGAAAAGTCGTAAAATGATTTTTTATTACCACCCGGGTCATCGATTCAAATTACTATCTCTACTACTACTATAAGATGAAAACGCATCTTGGATTTTGATTTATTTCGTGTCTCTAACTTTACTCGAGAGCTTTACTTCTCTTTTTTATTAATTTTGTGCTTTTTTTATTATTAGTACATGGAGATTAGTGATTGTCAGACATTACTCTGGACTGCTGCATTCTGTCGATTGTTATTGTATAAAAGTTCGTGGCACTTTTTAAGATAACGTTGATTTTGGTGCAAAATTTGTGAATTTTAAAAATGGCACTGGAATTTTTCGCTGGGAGTCTTGGAGGTAAGTAAATTAGGTTATGAAACCTAACCCCCAATTGACACTTATTCAAATATGGCTCATAGTTAGGTTAATCAATGTCTTCATCGTAATTAGCATCGCGTGACGAAAGATACTTTCATTGCGTAAACAGCTTAAGGTATTAGCTTATTACCCGAATGAAAAACTTCATTAATTAGTCATTTTGCAGTAATTGTCAGTCATGAATCATAATTTAGTGTATTTTACTTAGCCTTGAATTGATAATGTAATTCTTTTTCCAAGGATGCGCTGGTGTGCTAATTGGACATCCATTCGATACGATAAAAGTACAAATACAGAATTCTACGTCAAAATATTCAAACGCACGTGATTGTATACGCAAGTTGTATAAACACGAAGGCATCCATGTTTTTTTCCGTGGAATGACAAGTCCGTTAGCTGCAGTTGCAGGAATCAACGCAATCGTTTTCAGTATCTACGGACAAACACAGAAATGTTTCGATGATCCAAACGCATATAAAACACATTTTTTATCCGGTGCTTGTGCTGGTTTCTTTCAAAGTGTGATTGCATCACCGATGGAATTAGCAAAGGTGCGAGTGCAAATTCACAACACAGTTGGTCCCTTGGAATGTATACGTCACATTTATCATTCTGAAGGAGTGAAAGGAGTTTTCCGTGGGTTGACAATGACAGTACTACGAGATGTGCCAAGTTTCGCGCTGTATTTCCTAACCTATGAATACCTAGCGCGTGAACAAGATGGCCGCCATGCAGGTACGTCGCAGTTGTTAATGGCGGGTGGATTAGCTGGTGTTGTCAGCTGGACGTTAACCTATCCATTGGATATGATCAAAACACGCATGCAGTGTGATGGAATCAACGGAGTTAGTCGATATTCAAATGCGTGGGATTGTTACAAGAAGAGTATTGCGCAAAATGGACATCGAGTATTGTTTCGTGGTTTAACGCCTACTTTAGTCAGAGCTTTTCCGGTGAATGCGGTTGTTTTCACTGTTGTCACGTGGACTTTACGAGTTTTAGAGAATGGTTTTAAGTTTGATTTTATTGTTATGCCTCAACTGGCTGTAGCGTAAAATAAAAATAAATTTATGCATGAAAGTGCAAGATCTGCAAGTGTAATTTATGTAAATGGTTTAATTATTTAATAAATAATGTTTATTTGTCATTATTTTGATTATTTTGTAATGTTTTCTTTAAAATTTGACTTAACATACACGAAATTTCATGTTTTTCTTTTCAAATATTCGAAATTTTATTTTAATGGAATGAGCAATGCTCATAATGACTTTTGCGCCCTCTAGGATTCAATTATTAAACTATAACTATGAATAAATCTCTATATTAATTTTCATCCCTTATTTAACACCCTTTAAATTATAATTTTTAATATTTTAATAGTTATTCTGCTATTCGGGGTCAAGACGAATCCAAAAAATCATAAATCATCAAAATCTGCCCAGCCGTTCTTGAGTTATAAACGTTGTAACTAACCCAACCTAATTTTTTATTATAATGAGTACAAAAAAAGGTAAAAAAATCAAAAAATCTAAAAAATATTAATATTTTAAGAATACAATTACGAAATAATTTTATAATAATAATATCATTCATTATATTGATTAGATAAAAGCTTGTTATGATCGCTCATCTTAAGATAGCAGCATGGAAACGAAGATGTGCTCGCGCATAAAATGTGCCACGCGTTGCGTCACGGCACACTCTCGCACACTCCATTTTGTTGCACACTTATTGTTTGCGTCGGTTTGCTTGTTCAAACTACTTTGGACGAGTAAAAAGCAGCGCACAACCGCCGCAAGTGCATGATATCAGCGGCGTCGCATTAGTTGGCGATTTGTGTTCGCGTTCACGTGCTGAAAATAAAAAACATGGCGATTGTAACCGCAAAGTAGACGGAATATGGTTTCCGCAAAGGTCACACGGTACATTAATTTTTTAGTACTGTCGATAAGCTCATATTAATAAAATAAATAAATAAATAAATATTAAATAAATTTTACAGATACTTTTTTGAAATGTTAATTTATGAGCGGATTAGTTTTATGGCGGTAATTTTAAACTAAACTAAAACGTGTTTTTGAGGGTTAAACTTGTGAAAAATATCAAAAAATGATAAATTGACACAATTTTCAACAAAATATTTAATGTACTATTAAATCTAACCTCAACCTAACCTCAAATCTTGTTTTTCTGGTGTCCTGCAAGTTCTATAACCTAAATTGTAAATATTTTGAGGTTAAAACCTTCGAAAAGGGTTAAAATAAGGGTTAAAATTTTTAACCTTGTATTTATTTGAAATATTACTGATCATCCTGATGAATCACTTTTATTGCGCTAATGAACTCATAATATCATTTAACGACTTTGATAAACCCAAATCTCGCATATTCATTCAATGTTTTGATGATTAATATACATATGTTATTATACAGTGCACTGTAATATCACATAGGAAGCCTAATGTAACACATAAATAAACACCTACAACATGTCCAATTTAACAATCTAACAATGAAAAAGAAACTGTTGAAGAATGTCGCTACTCTCCGCAAGAGAGTGACACATTACCTAAATGTATCTTAAAGTGCTAGCCGAAAATAAACACAACACTTGTCTGCACGTTTCTCGTCAAGGCATTCGTATATTTGCAAGGCACGATTAATAAAAGTGATCGCAAGCCATAAACGAAATAGTAAAGCATTTGTAAAACAAGAAATATTTAAAAATATATAATAGCATGTCAATGTTATATCCCCATAATATATTTTTAAAATTGCAGTATGTATGGACCAATGTTTCTGTTCAAACTATTCGTTTAAAATTTAGACTCTTGTTTTTATACAGATATTATACCAAAATAAAAAAGTTAAGTGAGTATCTTTTTCTGTTGTTTTTTTTAAATCTTTAGTTGTTGTAAAATTCATCACGCCCGATTTAAGATTATCACTTAATCATATTGAATTTTGGTCGTCCTTTCCTCCAGCACCTAATTATTGGCCTCCTCAATATCCTCTTCAACTTCGACAACTTGCGGCGGTTCCACATCTTCATTCGCATTCAGAACATTGAGGTTATTCACGTTGGCCAATTGATGCAACACATTCAACTGTTGTAGGTTATGTGCATTCTGCGCTTGCGCCTGCTGTGCTTGTATATCATTGTTTTGATTATTATTATTGGCTGCCTCACGTTGTGCTTCCAACGCGATCATTTTCTGCCGCTTCTCTTCCATTAACTTCTCACGATGTTTGTGAATAAAATCCCTGACATTCGGTAAGCCTTGAATGACGCACGCAGACAACGCCGATCTGTAAATATTCATATCAGTCGCTTCGTACCATTCATTCGTACGCTCATCATAACACTCCACGTGATAAATGGTGGTCACACCATTGAAGCCACCAATAACAAAAATCATATCATCGATCACTTCGATTGCAAAGTTACTCCTTGGATTGTACATGTCCGGGATTTGGGTCCAGGTGTTCGTCGCTGGGTTGTACTTCTCCCCGCTGCACATCCGGCTGATACCGTTGAATCCACCAACGACATAAACATGCCCATGGTAAGATATACAGGACACTCCGGATCTTCGTGAACGCATTGGGTTGATCAAAGTCCATTGATTCGTCTCAATATCATAAACCTCAGCGGAATGCATGCATTCCTGCCCATTGAAACCACCGGTGATGTAGATTTTACCATTGAGGGTACATGCGCTTGCGTCTGATCTTTGCATATTCATAGGACTAATCAAAGTCCATTGATTGGTCTTCGGGTTGAATTTCTCAGCGGTATTCTGACGATGGTGACCATCATAACCTCCCATGGCATAGATGGTATTGTTGTACACTGCGGTACTGACATAACAACGACGTGCGTGCATCGGGGCAGCTTCCCGCCATGTTTTTGTCACAGCGTCAAAACATCGACAACTGTTAAAGTAGTCCATTCCATCAAAACCTCCTATAACATAAATCTCATATCCCACCACGGCTGTACCATGATAAGCACGTGGTCCACTTGGGTCTGTTTCTTCAACCTTCACCCAGCGATCTGCTCTGGTATCATAGGTTTCCATGTAATTCGTTGGGGAACCCCCACTCCAACCTCCCAGAGCAAACAACACCTCATGTGGGACCCGTGGGCGAGCTATCTCTGGAGTTGGTACTTCTCCATCACGATGAGAAATTGTTTCAAGGTCATATAAGAATTTTAAGGTTTCGATGATCATTGGACGGGAGTCATCACTGCTGGTAACATATGGATGGTCTTTAACGTGTTCTAAAAAGAATTGTGTGTCTAAAAGTCCTAGTCGGATGCATTTCATGAGTGTAACAATGTGTTTCTTGCGTTCGTCGGGTTTGAGGTTAATCCATCTCAGAATAGCCTCCCAAACCATTTCTTCACTTTTTACATTGAGTTCATCAGCGTTGATGATCGTCTGCAGGTCATCAACTGGTAGATTGACTAATTCAGAGCTTTCAACTGCTATCTGAGGAAAATATCGCATGATATACTTCCAGCAAGCGTCGTGCAGTTTTTGTAAAAATTGATTTTTCGCGAATTGCATTATACCGATGCAATTGCTCGGAGTTATGGTTTGTTCCAGATAATCACAGCACATGTCCAAGATACCCAAAATGCTTAGATAATCTGCGGTTGCAATGATTTTATAGACATTCTCTTGGGTAATGTCCAGTTTTCGCAGATAGGCGTAGTTTATCAACAGGATCATCATTTCAGGGGAGACGCCTGGTAAAAGGATGTTTGTCTTGTTCTTACCATGGAGCGATGTTGTAAATACAGCTCTAAAGATTCAAAATCACATTTAAGCATTTAAACTTAAAAATTTAATTTTGAGGTTATTAAATATTACTTAAAATAAGCACTGCATGAGCATAGGATGGCTCTGTGAATAGGATAAACAGAACCATCGTCCAGCAAGATGGTCGCATCGCAAAGTTGATTAGACTGTTGGAGTTCATAGAGTGCTTGCATTGCTGGAATGCTCAGGCGACGGCCCTCGCCAAACTTGATGGTTTCATGCGGGCCGTCGGTGTTACTGCTGGTTGCCGGCTGCATTTGCGTCATCGCCGCCATTTTGCTAACTAACAAGAACTAGCACAAGCTATTACCCAAGCTCATCTGATTCTAACACCTGTTTAGTGTATGTTTTTAATGAGAATGTGTGTGTGGTGTATGAGCGTGTGTTCCCGAAGCGATTGATTGAAGAAAATACGTGAGAAAGTTTGTGGTTAAATCGAAGAACACGACGCCAGTGGAGGATTTCTTGTGTTTGTGGTTTTGAAAGGATACTGTTACGAATCAATCTGAAATAAAATTTGTGGATTATGTAAAAGGGGTTTGTAGGAATTGGGAGAAAACAAAGTCTTACTTTGATATTTTCGGCCGTTTTTTTGCCTTCCCACAACCAGATTTCAATATTTGTAAATTATTCGCTAGACAATTGATTTCACTGTACGTTGTTGCAGGAGGCGGTGAGTCAGTTATTGTAAATTGTGAGTAGGTAAAAAGTTTGTATGTTGAGGTAGAAATATCGAATATTTGTGTAGAATTGTAAATATAATATTGGGGAACACTGATAATTTGGGCGGATTACTTGAATGATGTATAAAATATCAGAAACGTCAAAATTCAATAATCTGTTCGATTCAAATCTGTCTAGGCACGTTATTTTTCCATGATACTGTTATCGTATCTAGGCAAAGTCATTGTAATAACATTCATTTAGACTTCATTCTTGAATTTCAAAAGGAAAATTAATTTTGTTTTCATATTTCAGATTTTTTTGAGGTTTTTAGATTCTAGTGTAAATATATAGTAGTGGTTTATTGCTGTATATACTAAAATTGCATTTATGTGGTCTGAAAATAGTTTTGCTAGCGTGGGATGTGAAAACTGTGTTTATTTTTAACGATAAATTAAATATAATTAGACATTAGGGTTTTTAAGGTTATTGATGAAGCTCTGAATCCATTTGCATCAAGTTGAATGTACAACAAGTTGCATACCTTACAGAACACAGCAAAAACTAAATATTATAAAAAAATAATAAAAATTGGCGTTTATTTTAAAGATTCGATTAATTTTTACAGAAATATATGTTTTGATTTCTTTAATGATGTATTAAATGTCAGAAACGCCAAAATTAAATAATAATACTAAATTTCATTGTTGTATTATATTAATTTTTGTTTTAAATTTCAAAACTTTTGAATTTTCAACATTCTGGAGGAATATAGAATATCAGTATAGTTTTCAAAATATAACATTGCACTTAGTTGACCCAAAAAACAGTTTTCCACGCGTGGGAGGTAAAAACTTTGTTACTTTTTAACAAAAAGTTATTCATAATGTAACCTTAGTATTTGTGAGGTTATTGATGAAGCTCAGGTTCCATTTGCGTCATTTTACGCGCACAAAAAGTTGCATACCTTACAAAACACCCACAAGAAGAAATATTATTGAAAAATTAGGATAATTTGTGTTTATTATACTTATTTATTATGTTTACTTAAATATATTGTTCAGATTATTCACATAAAAACATTTTTATTGAAATCTGAAACAAATCCCATTCTTCTCTCGTCAATATCTCATTAGAAATCAATGTTAATCCACAACTCCATAACTCCATAACAAAACAACCAATTCCTAATCTGCAGAACGCCGCAATGTAATCTGTAACTCACCGTGGAAAAGTGGCCAACCCGTCAGCGGAAAATCGACGGTAAATCGCCGCGTAAATCGGGGAAAACCGGCGCTTCGATCGCACGCCCTGCATTCAGGTGGTGTCGACCGAGGAGCGCACAAAACACGCGAAAACACCACAGCAGTACGCTCGCGAGCGCCTCACACGCATTTAACAAATTGTCTTTAACTTTAAACTCACAACAATCAAAACAACCCTTTAAAAAATTTTAACATAAAAAACTTAAACTTAAAACAAAACCAGTGTTTAAATCATTTAAAAATATTTCAAAGCGTTTCAAGATGAAACTCGGATTGTTTGTCGCCTTGCTACTCTTAGTCGGCAACGTGGAGCGCATCAAGGCGCAAAACACTCTCATCGAAGCCATCCCGGAACCAATCAACAAGGAAATGAAGGATCCACTGGACTGTCACCGAAGTACTTACACCTATCGTGTGACTCAAAGCGATGCAGTTGGGAAACAATGCTGGGATACTGTCACTGTTATGGCTTGCTGGGGAAGATGCGACTCAAACGAGGTAAAAATAAAAAAATATTTTTTAAAAATTTTTTAAAATTCAATTAATTATTATTTATTATTATTATTATTATAATTATTAGATTTCCGATTGGCGTTTCCCATACAAAAAGTCCTCACACCCTGTCTGTGTCCACTACGGTCGTAGCCAAGCCGTAGTCCAACTGCGACATTGCGAAGAAGGCGCCTCTGAAGATGCTCGTCGCTACGAGTACCTGGAGGCGGCCGGCTGCCGCTGTCAGTTGTGCTCATCGTCGGATACATCCTGCGAAGGATTGCGATATCGTCCGCATCGTTCGCATCCCGATCAACTTGGATTCCGCGCTTAATTTCAGAGAGATATAAACTTGATTTAAAAACCCAAGCGAAAAAATTCTGTACTTGTATAAACATGTCTCGAACGGTTTATTACTCCTGCACATCTAATTAGCGCTTTTTATTATATCGATATAAAGGCGGAGTGGGCGGTTAAAGCTCGTCATAGGCTGGGTGATGAGCTTTCACTTGTGTACACAATCGTATAATATTTATTATGTTTTTCTATGTTGGTTAATACCTGTGTATTGGGATTATTTGATGGTGAAATGTATGTATTCT